TTTTTTTTTTTTTTTTTTTTTTTTTTTTTTTTTTTTTTTTTGTGCTTTTTGTCTTTTTCCGTGTCCAGCAACGGATCGCAACCCTCAGTGTTGCCCCCGTACCGGACCGGGACCGGCAATGGGATCGCAATCCTCGGTGCGGCTCCCGTGCCTCGCTCAGCCAGTGAGCGGGAACCGGTCCGTATGTGGGATCCGAACCCTCGGCGGGAGCGCCACCACGCTTCCCGTGCGCCACCGGGCTGGCCCAGAGGTCACAGATTTTCACCTGTTTACACCATCACAGATATTTTTATGTATACCCATTTATTTATAATGGAATTCCCCTTCCCCCTTTTTTGATTCATATTATTTAGTAAAACTGTTCATTTTGATTGTAAGGGGAAAGAAGAAAGTTTAATACAAAAGATAAAAGTAAAAGGTCACCTGTTATGAAAACTGCAACGATCTCACTTCATTCAGATTGAGGACAAAAGAGACAAAGCAGATGTGCTTCTCCTGACATACCTCTTTAATCAGGCTCATAAAGCGGGTCCCGAAGCGCCAGGGTTTGTGTCGATTACACTGCAAGGAACTGACTGTCATCTGAGGAAATTGTTGGACAGCCACAGACACCACGTGCACAGCGTCGTACATTAGTGCAGCGTCCGTCTGAAAGCCAAGGGAAACGGAAATATGTAGTGAATAAACATGTGAAACCTGTAGTAGGCACTTTGGAAGTAGAGAGAACGAAGAAATGACGGAAACGTATACTCAGTTGTTTTCTATATAAAGGTGAAAACATTATCTCCAACATGCTCTGGTTCTGTTAAATGAGATATTGTGATCCAATTACTACATCCCTACTCCATTAGAACGTTTGATCCAGCCTTCCTTTCCTGAAGTGGTATCTCTGCTCAAGTAGGAAATGTGTGAATACATTCACTATTTCCCTTTTGTTACTCTCTCTGTTACTCTCACTACATGCAAATACAAATACACACTCACAATGAGTGCAATTGATAACATATTGAATGGTTACATAAATCACATATTGTGTATAAAAGTAAATAAGTAAACAGTTTTCTTGTGTAGGAAGAAAATAAAAAGAGATTTAAAGGAGATTCAGTTAAAAACAATACACACTCACAATGAGTGCAATTGATAACATACTGAATGGTTACATAAATCACATATTGTGTATAAAAGTAAATATGTAAACAGTTTTCTTGTGTAGGAAGAAAATAAAAAGAGATTTAAAGGAGATTCAGTTAAAAAGCTTAAAGATAGAAACCCTGATCTTTTCTTCAACTCGATTTTTCAAAAGATTCAATCTCAGAAATGATGATGCAGTTTTGAATCTCATATGTACTAATCCCTTTTCAAGAAGCTACGCTTAATCTCCTGTGCTGTTTTTTCTTCCCCCGGATTTCCATATGAATAAAAGTTCATTTGGCTTCGCAAAGTAAAATGCATATGAATTCTGCTGTGTTTGCACCTGCTCAAGTGACCAACCACTTTAGAGGCTGTGATGATAAAAAATAAAATGTTTACAAGTCATAACAAACCAGAGGCTCAGTGACTGTCAAGTGCTGTGTTAAATGGACCCTCACATTTTGTTTGACGGATCCATGCCAGGTTCACTACCTACAGAAGAGGGCCACACTGACAGAGCTGATAGCAACAAACTTCAAGCCATCTGCTTGGCATGCTTTAAAATAAAAGCATATATTTCCTCTTCTCATTCACACAATTAGTGAGCTGTGAAATGAATTCCCAAATGAATAGGAACCCTGTAGATTACAGCGTTTGCCACAATACAATACAAAATGAGTACACAGTAGCTCTCATGCAAATAGATCGTAAGCTTTACCACATAAAAGGGAAGATGGCTAAAGAGCACAATGCAATGGCAGAACATAACAATAATACCATTTTATAGTTCATAAGTCTTTGGGGAATAACAGTTAGATTCATAACCTTCATTTTATAAATACCAGCTGACTGCTTTCGCATACTCTGAAGGCTACATAGGAAAACTTCAGTAGTGAAGTTGATACAAGCATACGTCCTGAGCCTGAGAGTTAGACTGATATTTGTCTTTGGCCTGAGCTAACACTTAGGGAATGTATTTCATGTATCATGCAGGTGGTCACAAAAATAGTTAATAAAATATGAAAAATACACTTTGATTTCAAAACAAAATAAATTTTTAAAATATGTCACTGTTAACAAAGGTATTGAGAAATGAAAATTTCCAGACACTACTAAAATGAACAAAAAGGGTAATTTTGCATATGCACCACAAAGGACCCTTAAAAATATCTATGTTATTTTGAATCCAGTAATTTGTCTTTCTGGAATTTACCCTAAGAAAATCAGAGATAAGAACAAAGGCTACACACATTATTTATTAAAAAAAAAAAAAAAAAGATTAAAAGTCTACTAAATGTCCAAAATAGGAAAATGCTTAAATAAATTCACAATGGTATTTTATATAACCATTAAAAATCATTTTGAAAAATATTCAGTCAGATAAGAAATTGCATATAATATGGTGCTAAGTGTAAGATTAGATTATACAGACCTGTATTCCTAGCATAAACCATTCTATACATCTTGATGACTACTTAATATGTTTTATTTAGCATATTAAGCATAACAGTAATAACATATTATTTAATTCTCACAATAATGGTACAATAAAAACACTCCTATTGTTCCCTTTTAACATGACAAAACTGAGTTTGGGAAAAGTTTAGTAAGTAACGAGAGTCACACAGCTAAAAAGTGGAGAGGTCGAGCCTCTCTGTTCAAGGATAGTTTACTTAACACTACTACATACTATATGAACAACAAGAAAAAAAATTAAATGATAATTATTACTCTTGGTAGTTAGTAACGAATAGAATTTTTATTTGTTTTTCCTCTTTATTTTCTACAGTTTTTTAATATGCATAGATTATAATCACCATTGCAATTATTCCTAGAAAGAAAATTTTGAACTATTTCCAC